TAGTTGGTATAGCGTCTGGCACGGTATGCAAGAAGATGTCGGTTCGAATCCGACCGGATCGAAGGAATTTTTCTGAGTGTTTTTTCTGAGTGTTCGATCTTTGTATTAATAATTATTATATTTAATTATTTGATCAAATTTTTAATTTTATTCTTTTAATTTTATGTTTTTTATCTTGTGATTTAGATTTAAATATTTAATTCTGATTTGTCTTTTAACTTTTAATTCTTTTTTTTTTCAAATGTCAATTTCATTTTTATTTCAAAGTGATTAACTAATTTTATAATTTAAGAATATGGATCCTAGACATCTGAAATATGACGAGTCGAAGTGTAATTTGTTTGCCTATGAAATAAAGATGGCAGGGGTCGGCAACCTGCTGATCGCGAGCTGTATGCTCTTTCGATGTGAAGTTGCGGCTCTTTAGTTCTATACGCAAATATTAAATATTTTATTAGGAAAACCTATAAAAGTCTTGCAATGGATGTATGAGTAAGTAGGCACCATGTTTATCTCTCAACCACTTGCAGTCGCGTCTCACCACCCGTGTGTGCAGTTACATTATTTAATTATTCTAATTTTCTAGTTACTTAGTATAATTTGTTGTGAAAAAAAATACTATGGCCTTATTCAGAGCGGGTAGATCTATTGCCTCGGTCGGCAAGTACCTTTCACAGTGCTTGTTTTAGCATTTAGCGATTGTTTGCTATTTCGAATTGTGAATCTACCCGCTCGTAGCCGCTTCGGCACTGTGAAAGGGAAGACGTCAAGACCCGCGCGCCCGCACCCGCCACCGTTCCCGTGCTTGCACTCTGAATGACCTCTATGTTTGAATAAATGCATATTATTTTTTATTTTCAAGTTTTAAATATAAATACCTTTACATAAGCAAGTACTATAATATTGTCAAGAAAAAATTTAGTGGCTCTTTCAATTGAAATTTTGTAAATTGTAATATTTGACTCTTCCAACTTGCCGACCCCCTTTTTTTTTTGACGGGGGGGAAATCTTTATGGATACTCTTGAGCCCAGGGAGACTCAGGGGTTATGTGGGGACTCTCCCTCCACACTGGAAGGCCTACCCCACTAAAACCCCCCCGGGTTTCCCTCTCGCCGGTTGAGTCGGCGCCGTGGGATCAGTGAACATTCACCACGACGCCGCCCGGAACTTGCCGACCCCTGGTATACGGGATTTGCTACTTTAAGACCAGTGATTGGTGTGGGTGTGGTCAGGCGGTGTTTCTTACCGCTGGACAGTTTCACATTAATGTTCCCATCAGCAGTCCTGACATTGCGTATTCCGAAATTCCTTCACACCTTGACAAGGCAGAGACAACACCGCCTGTCTCTGCCTTGTCAAAAACTCGGTGACTACTGTGAAAGTGTCCTTCAGTGCACTTTTCTTTTACCACAAAGAGTTTCGCATGTCCAGCTCAGCAAACCTCACCAGTACATGTCGAGGCCAGCCCTCAACAACCCCCCCAAGTCTGTGGCAAGCAACAATGGATCTGCTAGTAACATTTGGCAAATGAAGGCTTTTGTGGCAGATATTGTCAATTGTGCCCACAATATCCTCATCAGTTGCTTCCGGCACACCACCAAACAGCAAATATTTCCTCCTGTGCTGCATTTCTAACGTATTAACAGTGTTGCTGAGAATGCTGCAGAATGCAGCCTACCTGGTCTTTAAATGATATGACAGTGTCACATTATTATTATTAATTAATTACGTACATAATGTTGCAACTTAAATATTTCTAATACATTTTTAAAATTTATTTTGCCAGTTTCATTTGAAAGTACGAAATGTAAGCTGGAAAACACATCAAGCAGGGACAAAAGGCTTATTTATATATTATCTTATTATACAGGTCGTCTCACAGCTATACTACACGGAGGGAAAGTACCTTAAATACCGTAGATAGAAAATTTTACTGGAAAAAGACCTTATTTTCATTTTATAAACAAAACGAAACGTCATTCAAAGATTTTTAAGTAATCGCTTGTCTGAACCAGGAATCGAACCCGGCAGATGTGAAAAAATAAACACCCGTAATTTCCTATACTGATCGAAAGCTACAATTATAAGAATTGTTTTCTTTTAAATAACGTAGCATATTACATAAACAATGAAATTTAACATTATACATATTTGTTTATTCAGGAACCGAACCGAATGAATGTAAAATATTTAGTTTAGGTCACAAACTGAACTTAGACATATTATTTTAAGCATTCACCATGTAAAGATAAATAAATCAACAAGGAGGCGAAATTATCAAAAGAGAGATAATTTGTATACTTCAGAATGGGACACATTTTGGGCATTTGATAACAAAAATTGTTTGTAAGTTGCAGTCTAATATATATAATTTTTTAAACAAACATCTACACCAATTAACGTTTACATTGTAGTTAATCTCAATTAAAAATATCGACTGTGAACTCCGTTAATGAGTTTTTATTTCCGCCTGAGTCTGCGTGCTTGCCGCTTGTTAATTCTTATTGATTGTTCTAAGAATTCTAATTCCAATTTACGTAAGTGAATAATAAGCTTATTTGTAAATGAAATATAGTTTCAGTTATTTTTATTTTTCCTATATTTTTCTTCATTTTTACCATACACTAGTTCAAGAGGACTATTAACCGCGATACAAGACAGCGTAGTCGGGTATTAAATACCTGTTGGTACTCCATAATAAGGTTAGTACTGAGGTAGATATATTCCACCAATCTTTGAAACCATTTAATTTAAATTATTAAAAACAATTATTAAAAACTAATAAATAAAAAATATTATTAAAAACAATTCCTTCGATCCTGCCGGATTCGAACCGACGTCTTCTAGCATACCGTGCCAGACGTTGTACCAACTAAGCTACGGAAGGAACCAGCGAACCTCATGAATTTTTCCGTGTTTATTGTCGTATCTTTGTATTTAGTTTTTTCAACGACTTTTTTAGCCAGTTTGAAAAACCCAAATACAACAATTGTAACTTTTAAATTGTAACAATAATTGTAACTTTTTCATTTAAAAAAAAACCGACTTCTTGTCAGATTCTGACTTCTTGGTGACAATCAATCAAAAGTCAATGGGACTGTTACGGACTCCTTTGTACATTTTATATTTTCTTTTCCGGTTGAATGAGAGTGAGAGAGTCACCATGAGTGACAGTGATTTGTTGATTACATGCCTTGTGTCAAGTGAAAATTCGACTGTTATTTGCGGAAAATAATTAGTAATTTGTTACAGCCGCAACGAACCCAGAACAGCATCAACGACCACCTCGAGAGTACACCGTTTCAAACAAAAGAATTTTCAAAATCGGTGCTCAATTTATGGAGAAATTGGTGAATACACGGACATGCCTATAAAATTTGAGGATTTTCTTAGATTTTTGTCGGATCATTAGATTCCGACTTTGTGACAATGGACCACCACGAATGTGCACCCTTTCAAACAAATAAAGAATTTTCAAAATCGGTCCACAATTGACGGAAATTGTGAAAACATATAATTTAAATACAGCCGAGCGTATCATCTCTTCCTTTATTTTGAAGTCGGTGAAAAAGCGTCAGGTAGTACCACAAAAACTTAAATTTTTGAAGAGTCATGGAACAAAAATTACTGTTTACCACATTGACTTACAATTATATGGACGTCGGGTCCGCGCTAAAAAGTGTCCGAACTTATAGGGCGTTAAAATCGTATACAGAGCGTCATTCACGCTTTAGTCTTCGTTTGTTCGACTGACAGCGAAGCAAGCAAAATTAGACAGTACTGCGATGACATTACAATTTAAATTCAACGTTTTAGCTTTTTTATTTTCCTTTACATGTCACTACGTTTAAATAGGTTGACTTGGGACATTTTTTTCGTTGTTTTTGTATTAGACCCATCGTCCATTTATTTGTAAGTCAATGGTTTACCATGTTAGTAATACAGTCGTGCGAGATTTTAGTATTTTACAAATAATTAATACCTAAGAGTCCATATACTACCTCTGCTCGAATTTAAATTTTTCCCGTTCTAATAAGGTTCATTTTGCTTAGGTTCGAGCGACAAAGACACTGGCTTTATTTCAGAATTTTTTTTTACAAACGATATTGAAGCCATTCGAAAAATGAATATGTGTTCTATTTAGTTCAATTGATATAACAAAAAATTATAATTGGTATATGCAAAGTAACTATTGATTACAGCGGTGGTTTTCTTGTAAAATTTCCAAGTACGTCTTGTGCTTTTTTCTTTTGTGAAAATTTTTAGAAATCGTGTTTGCGCACAATTTTACTATATATTTTTTCCAAAGTGTTTTCCAATTCAACACTTTCACTGTTATGAGCAATCAACCAAAGCCATTTTAGGAAGTTTATATTCTTAAGGTTAATAATTGGCAGAAACGCGAGTGGTGGTCGTCGGGGAGGAAGCGTGCCTGTTTGAACTTCCTACCTTGCTACCAAATACAGATCTGAAAAGTGTCAGGTAGTACAACAAAAACTTTAAAGTTCAGTTTTGGTAAATTTATTGCTTTGCCAAGAAAATTATTGTTTATGATGTTAATAATACAGTCCTTTAGGTTTTAGTATTTTACAAACAACCTAGTATATTATTAATAGTTACGGTTAATAATTATAGTTATATCCCATATTGTTTGTATACGAATTAAGGACATGGTCTGGGAAGGCTCTTTTTGCATCAATAAAGAAATTGTACTGTACTGTACTCATTGTACCAGCAAAAAGAACAATGGAGTAGGCTAAGCAGAAGCTGCTTTTGGAATTTGCCTCACACTAGGGAAACCCTGTATTGCAGGTGTCATGGACACACACACAACCACAAATTACACTCAAACTCACGCGAGAAATAGATGTAGGCCATACAAATATTTCTCCCGGCCCGGGACTCGAACCCGAGACCTCTGTGTGGCAGTCCAGCACGGTAACCGTTCGGCCAAAGAGGCAGTTACAATGCCCATAATTACGAATTATTTAAGTAGAGATTTTGGAATCCACAAAAAATTGCAGTACAAATAGCACATTTATTTTCTTTAAATTAATATATACAGACAACAGAGTCTAATTTCCGTGTGTTTGGTATCCACCGTGGTGTTGTCCGTGGCCATCACGTCTCAAACCACTCTGTCCGAATTCACCTTGCTCTCCATGACTACCCTGTCCGCCGAATCCACCTTAACAAAATAAAAATCCGTATTAGGGAACCGAATAAAAAAATGGGAACCAATGATTCTCTCTGGATTTAATTTGTTTTTATCGTTTTATTTTTAATATATTTCAATGGTGCTAAATTAATTTTTGGTAAATCCCCCTGCCTTCTTAAGTGCATTATAGTTCTTACAAGAAAATTAGATCACTTTGCAAAGTTCACTGCAGTTACTCTGTTAATAATAACTTTACCTTGTCCACCGTGACCAAAGCCAGGGTCATCAACGACTACGCCCTGGTTTCCGGGACCAAATCCACCATGGCCTCCGTGACCGAAACCAGGGTCGTCAACGACGCCGCCATGGCCTCCGTGACCGTGACCACCGTGACCGTGACCACTGTGGCCGTAGCCTTGTGGTACAGCTGTGAAGAAAAGAAATATATAATAACAATAATATTTTGAACTATACAGGTTCCACTGCTGTGCACAGACCTCCTGTCACAATGAGAGAGCTAGGGCTGTAGTTCCCAAGCGGGTTCAATGGGGCTTGGAAACTTCACACACATCGTTAATGTGCAGATGTGTGCAGGTTTCCAAAAAAGAACTGTAATGTAAGCCCGGATTCGAGCCCACGACCCTCTGCTTAAGAGGCAGTAGTTCAAACCATTAAACTCGATTCGAATTCGAATTCGAATGTTCGACTTTTAATTGTTTTTACATTCAGCTTTTTATGTAAAGATGGATACAGCTAAAATCAGAGTACGAGTTCCCACATGCGGTTAACGCAACAGAAATTGCTCGTAATGTCAATGCTGTGTTTGAAGAGGACACGGCTAACGAACGCACCGTGCGTTTTTCGACAATTTTCGATTTCATGCAATCGGCAACTTCATACTAAAAAAAAAAATATTATTTATATTTTTTTAAATTTTTTTTTTATGCAATCGGCAACTTTATACTTTAACCCCTAATATAATCCGTATACGCCATTTCATTTTGCTGGGCTCTAATCTACTCTTAGAAAGTTGATGGGGCCAAAAGTTAGGCACTTCACACATTCGAGATTTTTAACTGACTTCAAAAAAGTAGGAGGTTCTTTTTTGTATGTATGTTACGCGATAACTCGACACATTCGATACACGATAATTTGTGAACGATTTTGATGATTATTTTTTTTTGTTGGAAAGAGGGTGTACCTCAGTAGTGATCCAATATAAAAATTAAATTTCAGGAACTTTTATGAAATGTCTCCAAGTTTATATCCAACATTTCAATTTGTATTCCATAAAAAAATAATAATATGCTTATTTCACGAGTGTTATTCAAACTAGAAGCAAAATAGCATAAAAGTTTTTAACGGTCATTCTCGGACTAGTGTTCGTTATCAAATTATTTTTTATTTACAATTTTTATTATCAAAATACTCGGGTATATCGTCGTATATTTAAAATTTTTATTGAATTAACATTAATTTTTTTCTTTTTGTGAAATTTATCCACTGGTTTGTTATAATTATTAATATACAGATCGAATACTTAGAAATTTGAAGGTAATATTCCACCTCCAAGGTTGGCAAACTAGATGAATGAATAATAGATACGTTTTGAAAAATAGTTATTTGTTATGCAAGGCTGCAAAAATGTTGTTCGACGCGTGTGCTTGTATTGAAATCTGAGCAAGCGAAACGACCTGAGTGTAGCGAGAGTTTCAAGGCACGAGGCGCGAAACAACTTTGCTGCCGAGAGAAACAGGCAACGTTTCAACACACTGTAGCCAGGAAAATGGTAGGTGAAAGAAAAACAGTTGAGCTATCAGTTTAGTTCTTCGACGAATTAAATTAATTTATAAACAAAAATTAGTCATCGTTGTCAATTTAAAGTCAACAATAATAACAATGAAGTGTACCAACGGATTTATATTATATAAATAATATACGACAAATCATGTGGCTGAACATGTCATGTTTTTTTTCATCGAAAGAAAAATTTGATGCACCATTAGTCCATCGTCAAGTTCCAATTCCAAAAACCTTTTCCACGCTAGCCTGGAAAAAACGGTTTTGCGCGCAGATTTCTAATGAAAAAGAAGGCTTTTCCGACCTAGTGAGGTGAAAATAAACATTATATCAACAAATATTTATTTTTTAAATATTTTAATATATTGTTTTTATCTTATCTATTCATCAATATTTGTACGTTACGGAATTCATCCTAATAGCGGAGTGTAATATAAAGTTCGTGTCTAGGTGGTTTATTACGACGCATGATTTTATGGAGTAACATGCAAAACCGAGGTCCACAGATACCAACGTAACCATAGTAACGCGTCATTAGAGGTGCGTTGGTGCTTCTTTCTATAGTACGCGAGTTCGTACTCGTGTTGCGCACAGTGCGAAGCCACCTTACTAGAGCGGTTACACATGGTGGCTTTTAGCGCGTTTCACGTTTGTGAAACGCGCGATTGCATCACTACACTTGCGATTTATCGATTTCAACGCGCGATTGCATCGATGGAAACGCGCGACTGCAACTATTCAGTTATTATTCATTATGGCGAAAAATCTGTTCAGGTGCATTAGCACATTGTTTTGTTTTGTCAATTATTAATTTGGAAGTGAAATAAACAAATTATAATTAATTAAAAACGTGAATCGCGTTTGCACCCCGTTGGCATCGCATTTGCAGACGCGCTGCCAAAAGATGCCGTGTGTAACCAATCTTAAATCTTCAATAATCATTGTACTCGTAAACATTATTTATTGTTACATTAACTATTTATTTTAACTAACAATTTTAACCCAACTGAAATCAGTATTATTCGATTTGGATAGTTTTTTATCATATTAGAAGTGTAAAACACTATAAATTTCGTTATTTTTCTTCCAAAAAGGAAGAAAGATCACTTACCGTATGCCACAACGGCCATTGCCATCAGTACGATGCAAGCGATCTGTAAAATAAGGCCTGTATTTGAATATCTACCTTTTAAATTATAATTATTGTACGCAACGCCACATACCCAGCTAATGTGTCACATGTAACAAGTTCCAATGAACATTATACCAACTCAATTTGTTGACCTGTTTTGTTCTTATTTTGGTTTTATCTTTCTTTGTTTTTAACGAATTTCATTTTTTTTGCTTTTTTTCCGAATTTCGCATTTTGTTTCTTTACTTTTTTTTTCACAAAATTCGGGGAGTATAACATCAGTAAATAAATATGGCAGTTTACAAAAATAAAAGAAATTGATTGGCCAAAAAATAAAAATGGCCTAGTGTTGATTGGAGGTATGAAAAATATAAAAAGCCTAAGAAAAGTCCACTTTGGTCGGACACTCATCAACAAGCCTAAATACGGCTTTAAGCGCAGGCCACACCGCGAACGAAGCTAAGCTAACCTAGCTTCACTCATGTAGCCAGGGCATCTATTCATACTTCGGTTCACACCGCAAACTAAGCTAACGCTTGTAAAACATGTCGCCCTTCTGTCGCCCTTTCCCCCCCGCACGTAATCATAGTGCAGCACGTCACTATTTACTACGTATTTTCTTAGTATAGCTTTGCATGCAACTTCGTGAACTAAGCTAAGTTAGCTTCGTTTGCGGTATGGCCTGCACTATATCCGGACGCCTGGTAGCAAAGTCAAAGTCAAAGATTATTTATTCCATAGGTAAAATAAATGTACACTTGAAAACGTCACATTTAAGCCACTGCTCGTTCACTACGCTGACCTCCCTGAGAAGAACGAGCAAGAAACTCTAGGGATTGCTCTTTTCAAATAAACTTAAATGCTATGGAATACACTTTGAATCAAATATGTGTGGATTCTGGAGTCATGTCGTCTTTCCATACATCTTTATCTAACACGTAGTCTTCAATTTTGTAATATGACTTTTCAATCAAAATATTTTTAATGTAGTTTTTAAACTTAGGAAATGATAAACTTAATATATGCTCCGGAATCTTATTGTAAAAAGTATACAGTTCCCCATAAAAGAGTTGTTTACCTTGGTTAAACGAAATCGTGGTACCATGAGTTTGGATTTAGCTTGAAGGTTAATATTATGGATACCTTCTTTCTTATTGAAATTATGTTTATTTTTACGGGCATATAAAATATTTGAGTAAATGTACTGTGATGCCACAGTCATGATACCAGTCTCCTTAAACTTTTCTCTGAGAGAAACCCGAGAGTCTAGACGGTATACAGAACGAATCGCTCGTTTTTGCAATACAAATATGGTTTGAATATCTGCCGCTTTACCCCACATGAGAATCCCGTAGGATATTATACTATGGAAGTAACTAAAGTAAACTAGTCTAGCAGTACTAACATCGGTAAGCTCACGTATTCTGCGGACTGCGTATGCAGCGGAGCTTAATCTGCTGGCCAGGGAAGATATATGTGGAAACCATTGAAGTTTACTACCTAAGGTCACTCCCAAGAAGACTGCTTTGTTAACAAAGTCTAACTTTTCTAGGTTTATTTCTATGCTTGGACTAGTCGATTTTACGTAACATATAACGTAACAACATATTGTAATAATTATTAATAATACTGCATTTGCTTGACTTAGATCCGTAAATGTAGTTCAAACCAGCTAACAGGCTGAGAAAAATAAAGTAAATAATAATAATAATAATAACAACGCACACATTCAACATAGTCCCGCACTAGGGAAACCCTGTGTCGCGGGTGCCATGGAAACACACAAAGACAACCACAAATGACACCCAAACCCACGAGAGAATTTGCCTTACCTTGAATGCCATTTTGCAGAATATCAAAAATCCTAACTGTACTGATTTTAGTGCATGCTCGTCTTATATAGCATTTCTTATCCATAACAATAACAATATGCTGACCTCGTAAACCTACTGTTAAACTATCTACATAACGTGTTTATTTTGTTGCCTCGATTTCGTTGCTGTTGGTGATAGAGGTGTTGTTCCCAGATTACCAATTTATATTAGTGTAAATACCGAGATCATTTGACACTGGGTGATTTTTTAGTATAACTCATTGTGTGTGGAGTTGGAAATGGTTATCGGTCTGAAGCAAGGAGACGCGTTATCGGCCGCACTGCTTAACTTGGTTCTTGAATACATCTTCCGGAAAGTCTTATTGATCGATGGTGGAGTAGAGTTAAACGGATAGCACAAGGTAATATGGTACGCTAGAAAAAAATCCTTCATCAATAAAAGGAAGGAATTTTGTGAAAAGTGTTCCATCTTTGTATTAATAATTACAACAAACTAGTATAGTAATTTCTTTTTTAATTTAATTAAAATGCAGTGAATAGCGACATTTATACTGCTATCGCATCGAATAAATAACCAGAAATAGAGACGAAATGTCGTTTAATTTGTTCGAAAACTATTTTGTCATATCATTACTGTGACAAATGCACTCCGATTGGCCAGCCTGAATTCGAAACAATTGACGGGTGTCGTCAATTGTTTCACTTCAAAGCGACCAGTTTAACTTAAGCTTTGCTATAATGGACGAAAATTGCAAAATTACATATTTCATTATATAATTACTGATAAAATTTGGTTCCGTTTGTTTTGTAATTAGATGTTTTGCTGTTTTTCCCATACCACCGAATGGATCAGCAAGCTATTGTTAGATATATTATCTTTATTAAAATAAATACAGAATATGTTTGGAATATACGGAAACGTACATACAGGTCAGTTGTTGGCGCTGTCTTTATTTCAGTGTAAACGAGAGTTGATATTTATAAGTGATGTTTCACTGATGAGTCGTCAGGAATATATGGCCCTTATTTCGTCTCTATTTCTGGTTATATACTCGATGTGCCCTCGTAACGAAAAAAGCTAGTCTATGCGTACTTTATACGACAGTTGTGTCTTTTTTTGTTTCGAAGGCAGTATAGCCGGGGCTGGTAGCTGTAAAGGTATCTAACTGGGTGACGAAGTACTTTCATAGATGTCTCATAGATGGCGCTATGGCTAAAAGTCATTGAAAACCAAATACAAAGATCCGACAAACAAGCACATAGAAAAATTCGTGAGGTCTGCTGGTTCGTTCCGTGGCTTGGTTGGAATAACGTCTGACACGGTTTGCTAGAAGACGTCGTTTCGAAGGAATTTTTTCTAAGTGTTCGATCTTTGTATTTAATTAATGTACTTAATTATAGCAAATTAATTCCTAATTTTTCTTATCTACTATTCATTCGGCGTTAGTGATTGAATAAATGAATGCCGTCACTAAATATTCCATTGAAAGTGTTTTGAGACTCAAACATCATCGCAGTATAATCTCAGGGGAGTCACAATGGAGTTATTCAGTAGCAGCAGAACTCCTTGTAAAATGTCTAATGTGTAAAGTTTCTTATTATGCCTAGTTATTAATACATTTTTGCTTAGAATAATAACGCATAGAAACCTAGTCCGCACACGCTAAGTGAGGCAAATTGAAGTGCGCCAAAAGGGCCTACACGAGCGGGCGGGCCTTCAGTGCTCAAGGTCAACTTGCACCGCGAACAGATCAAGAATTTTAGCTAAAAATGACGAAATGTGTTTTGTGTGTTTCAACTTGTATTTTTATATAAATATTCACTAAAACCGAAAATTAACCTACTACTAAAACTAGCCTACATGAATTTGATTTTTGCCTCACTTGTGACAGTTCGTTTGATATGAAACTATCATTCTATGCGTTATTATTCTAAGCATTTTTGCATATTTTTAGAAATCAGGAATAAAGAAATTACAAAACAATATACATATTTAGAATAGATGCAAGAACACAACGCAATTGATTCAGTTCGACCATAGATTAGGTAACGTTCTTGTACGTACATTTCATTTTAAGCATGATTGAATATTTACCTACCTAAAGTATTGGTTATTTTATATTACACACATAAAACATTAAAGCTATAAAATACCTAATGAAATAATCAATTAAACAATAATGACATAAAGTAAGAAATAAAACACAACATGCCAAAAATGTTTAGACTATATTTAAATGAGAAATGCTATAGTTAGCAAAGGAACGTTTTGACAAGAGGCCTCTTGCCAATGTCAATATCACTTTGAGGTTGAGAACAGTGTGGCGATTTGTGGCAGAATTCTGCCATTTGGACAGATTTAATTTTTATTCATTTTGATTGCGACAGAACATGTTAACGTTGTATTAAATGTGGCAGAGTTTGGCAGATTTAGGAATATTCAGCAAGTTCTTTATTATTTTTAGGAACAAACACAAAAACTTGTTGTTTTCTGCTAGTACAAACAAACATCTGAAGCAAAGTACAGGACAACGTTATAAATATAATCTATATCAAATATATAACCCCAGCTTCTACAGGCTGTACTCAATTAGCTTTTTAGATGCTTTGATATTGAATCACATGTATTGATAGGTCTCTTTGATGCACGTCATCAAAAACACTAGGTTACAAAATACACGGGATGTCGCCATTCTTTTTCAAAATTTGTTAAAATTATATAAAGTAAGAATCAATGGTGATACGAAGCACCTTTAATCGATAATATAACAAGTGCGAATCATTTTTGTGATTCGTTCTTATATTTCGTGGTTCACTGTTATGAACAGGCGTGTCGTTTACCACCAGGCCCACGATTTGTTCGTCCCGTCGCTTGGTATTATAAAAAAAAAAATGCAATGACCAATGTTTTCAAGAAAAGTAATAGACAAGGCGCCATGTTGTAGAACATAAGTTTCTCAAAATGGCGGATTTACCATTTCATATTGATGTTAGTAATTTAACGAGTCGAGTACGTAGCTGGGCCAGTTGGGTGCCTATAGCGATCTCTAAAATGACTGAAAGCGGTACTAACTTAATAATTCTGCAATAAAATTCTGTACAAAAAAAAAATAATGTGCCTCAAGTACAACATAATATACATTTTTTCCATCCAAGTAGAGATTGAGAGGAAAGGTTATATAAACAAAAACAATGTCCAAGATTATAAATGTTTATCAAATTAAAATGTAGCTTTTAATTACCGGTAGACATAATAGTTATTAAACATTAATTTAATTACGAAGGAAATTCCCACAAATGATTGTAAAAATGCTGCATGAAGCAAAGTGACATTCTTCTATCATGGGTTTCTCCATTACTGCTCTACATGACATTCGAAAGTCGTTTTAGAAGCAGCACAGCTCCTTGTGAAAGGGTTTGTCCGGGGAAGTAGAGCCCCCTGCCTCCCACTCAGCGCTTTAAGTCCCAAAAATCTTAAGGGCACTGCCACCGCGCCCGTCCTCCTGAAACATAAAAAAGCTGACAAGTCCCGTGTGCCCGTAATTTCACCAGCACCCTTGCCCTTTCAAACCGGCACTCAGTAATGCTTACATTAGCGGCAGAAATAGGTACAGTGGAATTCCCTGGACGAAATCTTTTCAGTTAGCTCTACTTCTATTAAACCATTTGTAATGGAAATTTTCATTTTCAAATTTTCAATGGAATACCCAAGGAAATTTCATTCCAATCACATATTAATGTATTTACCAAGTAGCTTAAAGCACATTTGATAAAAAAATGTTATTATAGGGCTATAATTAAATAACAAGAGTTTTTTGAAGAATAATTAATATAATAGGTACGTATACAATTGTTGTTTCCATTAAATTTTGTTAGTTTTATGTTCTTATTGTTTGTTTTTAATTTATTATACTTTTAATTGCGGCGCCTTAAGAGGGTCATGTTGTACTATTTAAATTTTAAGATCTATGTAATATATGGAAGCAATAAATATTTTGACTTTGACTTTGACTTTGACTTTGACTTTGCCTTTGATTTTGACTTTGACTTTGACTTTGACTTTGACTTTGACTTGGACTTTGACTTTGACTTTGCCTTTGACTTTGACTTTGACTTTGA